TTTTTTAACCTTTCAATTAAATTGCTCTCCAAAGGTAAAACCAATTTTACCTGAAAAAGCAGCCACTTTAAACTTAGAAAAGCTTTGAAAGTGTTCTAGCGAAGAACAGAAATCTGCTCAATGGTGTTATGCAAAATATGGCTAAAGTCACATTTATTTGCAGTTGTGGCTGTTATTAAAGCAGCTTAAATCCTTTGTAAATAAGGGTTTTTGGAGAGTTCAATCGATAGAACGTGCAGGCAGGCAGGATTACCAGTGATTCGTGGTGCAAAACCCCATCAATGCCACAAGAAGGACTGCGGTAGTTGTCAGGATACTTGAACCCCCCAAATCCCCATCACCTCCTTCTGTGAAGGGGTCTGTGGTTTACACTCACACCTGGCTTCATTTGCAAATGCCTTTGGCAGCTAACACAGGATTATTCAGTGCAGATATTTCCCTCCTGGGAGCAGAGCCCAGTTGAAAAGAGAGGCTGACAATTGGTTAGCTGTGTGGGAGCGAGGCAGCGCTATTCCAGTTATCATGGAGGAATAATTGAACACAGATTGCTTGTGGCATCTCTAAATTAATTTGGAGACCTTTCATCCTTTACCTTCCTTCATCTGCAGCCAATACTTGGTGAGCTCATTTGTACCTGGTTCATTTTTTTCCTTTTATCTTATCTACTTTAACATCAGCCATGGAAATTAGAAACACTATGAATAAAAGATGAAGCCTGACTTTGGACAGTCTCCTCCTTTCCTGTGAATTACTTAAAAACTAATTGTGTGCGTACTAAGAAGGGCTGAGATATATGCCTCAGCCGCATGGCATCCCTGACCAGCATCTTTCCCTACCCTAAGGAGCTGCAGTCTGTAGATGCTTTGTTTGGGCCTCTCTTTTCTCCAAGAAAAATGTGTGGCCTGCAGTCTGCAGAGAATCATTAATTTGGGAGAGGGTGTATGGTAGACCATCCTATTGATGAAAGTAAAGATTTAAAGGAAAACAGACTTCAAATCCTGGAAAATGCACAAGATGGGGATGCATAAATTCCACTAATTAAGTTCAGTGGTACCTGCCATGCAGTTGTGAGGAGGGAAACTAAATGCATGGCACATTTACTACCTAATTTGCCCAAAACACTACAGCCCAGAAGAGAAAGGAAGGGGCCATAGTTATAGAAAGGTACTATGGTAAATTACTGTCTGGAGTCATAATGTCCAGAAGACAGATAACTTAAATTCTAAGTGTGTCATGCATATTATGCCTAAAAACAAGGAACCTATTATGTACTTGGCATTGTTGGCACCTCTCCAAAAAGCAGTTGCACATGTCGGGATACATTTATTTTGATTTCATTACTTCACTGCACAAAATTCTTGTGTCTTAGAAAAGTAAGTTCTGCATGAGTTTTTTCTTCATAATTTTCTCTTTACCAGTACTGTTTTTTTCTTCCTACCCTGTCTTCTTCCTTTTACCTCCTCCTATCCCATAGACCTCTTGGATTTTTCTCCTGCTTCTTAACATCCACAAACAAGCCTTCTTTTCAGCTGGGGAAGCGTCAAAGAAAGACTGTTTCTGGGTCCTTTCACTGCCCATGTGTGCCAACTTTCCACTCAACTAACACTTCCTGCCCACAGGCTAAAAGCTGCAATGGATGGAATTATTTCCCTTTACAGCCCACCCCCTCCAATTTTAATTCACAGGGATGTATATGATTTAAACAGCTACACATTTTCACAGGTAAGGCAACTTCCAAGCTAGACAAGGGAAAAAAGACTGGTTTTAAAATGATGGTACACTGAAATGTCTTTGCTTCAGAATCATACGAGCCAGTTCTTTGGGGGTCAAGAGCACTGAAACAGCCCAACTTTAAAACAAAGCCTAACTTTAAAACAAGTGGGTAGTATTTCTAATCGCAGTTATAATAAGACTACGCTATAGACTAATGGGCTTATTTCTCTGGAAAAAATGGAAAGCAAGGCCCAGGGAGTGAACAGAGAAAAGGTGGAGAGCAGTAACTGCTCTTTCTTCATGAAGGAGAGGACAAATACAAACGGGGGCTGTATTAAAAAAAACCTAAGAAATGGATTTCTGAGAGCCACACAGACAAATAGCAAGCGGCAAAGGTACAAAGTACCTGTCATGAAGTTAAGAAAGCAAAATAGATTAAAAAGAAAACGGCAGGGGCACAAATAGTATTTTCTGAATGTCCGGTTTGCTTGAGGAGAGGCAGGCCGTCATGAAACTGCAGGTGGCAGGAGACAAGAGTCGCCCACAGGATGGCAGAGAAGTTAGCAGGCTGCACCTGCGCACAGGGGCGAAGAACCTGAAACCCACGCACCTGAGTCCTTCACACCCCCATACCAGCGCCAAGGGTGGGCCTGAGCCCCACCTGCCTCACCAGGGCCTGCCGGGGTGCTCTGGGCACCACAGCTGCAGGGGCCAGGCCTCCCTCAAGAGTCACAGAGCCCTGGGGAGCCCTGGTGAGTGCAGGCGAAGCCAAGCCCGCTCAAGGAGCTGGAGGCGGCCGTGGAAAAGCCCTGCCAGGGTCCTGCAGAGAACTCAACCACTGGGCAGGGCAACCCCAACTCAGCGGGCAGAGGGACCCTGGGGGAAAAGTGTCATCTCGAGGGCCCAAGGGACCTTCCTGAGAGTGCAAAAAGAGAAGGGAGGACCCGCGCAGGAGCCGGCGGCTTCGCCAACGGCCCTCTCCTATCGGGAACCGCGTGGAGCTCGAGTCCACGCTCAACTCCAGTCGCGCCGCATCTCCCACACACTCCGATCCGTCCACACCTGTGGCGGGAAGCGCCCACCCGGAGTCGGCCGGCTGGAGCGGGGCTCTGCCCGTCACCGCGCTTCGTGCTCGACCCACACTCGGGACCCCGAGCCCTGGCCGAGTCCCCCGGGCCGGCCGGTCCCCCGCCGCGAGTGCACCCGGGGCGCGGGCACTACCTCTTGGAAGAGCTCCAGACTGTAGGTGTTGTCGTCGTCGGCGAAGAAGAGCACTCCGGGCTGCGCGCGCCCGTGCCCGTGTCGGTGCCGCTGGCGCAGCCATGCCAGGCCGGCGTTGCGCTGCTCGGTGGCGCGCGGCAGCCCCGGGCGCTTGTAGCGCCGCGGCGTGGGCACGTGCAGGTGCGTGCTGGGCAGCCCGGCGCGCGCCAGGAGGCGGCTCACCAGCTCGCTGCGCGCCGCGGCGTCCTCCACCAGGATCCAGTGCAGCTGCGCCACCTGGCGGAGCGTGTTGGCCAGGCGCGTCAGCTCGGCCTTCTGCACTGGGCGGCTGTAGGTGGGCGTGATGGCATAGATGGTGGGCAGCGGCGGCTCGGGGGCAGGCGGGGGCCGAGACTCGTTGCGCGGCTCGGCGCTGCGCCCCGGGCCGCCCTTGCGGAGCGTGGTTTGGGCGCTCCCGCGGCCGCCGGCGTAGGGAGAGGAGTAGGGGCGCGGGGTGAGCGGGGGCGCCGGCCTGCGCGTGTCCACGTCCAGCATGATGATGACGATCAGGATCCAGGGCAGAAGGATGAAGAAGCGGCTGAACAGCACGGACTTCATGGTGCGGGCGGCGACTCTCTCGGAAGCCCCCCGAATGCGAGCCCGGGCCCCAGGGCGCAGCGCGGACGGCGGCGGCGCTGGCGCTCAGGGGGCAGCAGCCAGCGTGCTCCCCATCGCGCGGTGCAGCGGGCACCGAGGGCGCGGGGCTCGCTTCCGGGCGGGGCGCCCCACTCCCGCTCCCACTCCCACTCCGGGAGTCGTTCAGCCGCGCGCAGCTGGCCCCAGAGTTGTGAAGGAGCGGGAAGGCGGCGTCCCCGGAGCGCGGGACCCTCCGGGGCTGGGCGGCGGGCGCTGGGGGCGCGCCTGCCTCGGCCGGAGCAGACCCCGGGCCGGTGCGCCCCGTTTCGTCCCCGCGCCGCCACGGAAAGCTGCGCTCCTGCCTTTCGCTCCGCTCCAAACCTCTCCGGCTCCGGCAGCAAGATCCCAGAGCAGGGAAAGAAAGAAAGAAAGAAAAGGCGCGGGGGCGGGGGCGCCGCAGACTCCAGCGTCCCCCGTCCTCCCGCAGAAAGACAGCAGCTGCCACCGGCCAGGAGGGGCGGGAGGGCCCCCGCGGGGCTGCGCGACCTCGAAGCTCCGCGCGCCCTCGGCGCAGTCTTCGGTGATCGGCTAGGAAAACCCACTCACGTGCGGAAAACTCGGGGGCCGGGGGCGGGGCAGAGAGAACCCTCCTCCTGGCCGCGCTGCGGGGTGCTGTGCGAACCGCAGCAGCACCGCCGCCTTCACCGCCAGGCGGAGACCGGCGGGAGCCCGGAGCTGCAGGGGTGCGGCGGGCGGGGGTCCAGTGGGCCAGGTCGCGGTGAGGATCGGTCCCGATGGTCGCGGCCGCACCGCAGCTGGCTCACGGGGAGGGGGCGTCCTAAAACTCCCGCGCAGTGTGCGTAACTTGTTTCGTGCGGTGATTTGGAGCCACGGCCCCTCGCGGTTCGCTGTCGCCGACGGGTTCCGCCTGCCAGCCCCTACCCCGCCGGGTCTCGGGAGGCCCGGGACGTGGGGCCACCTCCTCGTCCCGGGCGAGGACGCAGCGGCTCAGATTGTACCCGAGGTCCGCGGGGCCACGGCGACGGCTCAGTGGGAGAGAAACGTGGGCCTCGGGTACACCCGTGGCTTCCTCGCCGCTCGGCCGGCAGAAATCCCTCTCTCGACACGGCCCGGCCGGCAGGGCTGGCCTTGCTGGACAGAAACACGGTGTCTCAGGATCAGTCAGAGCCTCTGGGTGGGTACAACCACAGCCGCGTCTGGGAGACACCAAAGAAACAGTTGGCGCTCAGCTGGGACCTTTCCTATCCAGGCACCTACCAGCTGGGTCCCTGGCGGTGGCTTGGAGGGAGAAGGCCCCGGCTTCTGCAAGTCTGGGGAGGTGATTGCAAATACCCCGCCCCGGATTCATAATTTGAGCGCATCTTTCCTGGGTTCTCGGCCCTTCTCAGTCTGTTCACAGGTAAATGCTTGCGCAAAGCACAGCTCTGGGCTGATGCCCCTCCAGACTCCCTGTCCCTGCCGCTCCTGCTCCTCTCCTTCCAGCCCTACCCATGCACCTCCTCCCCATTCTCAGGACTGGTGCACCTGTGACTCCCCTAACTGCCCCCTCAGACTGTGAAGCCGGAAGGTGAAATCTCAGACTGCCCCCCTCCCACACACACATGCAAGGGCTCCTCTTCTCTTCCAGTATCTCCCTGTCACCCATAACTCACACTTCCAGCTCTGCAGATGGTGCATTGTAAACGTCAGACACCAGGACTCCCCTGGACCCCCACCCGTATTCTGGAAGACTCCAACGCGCCCCTAAATATAACAACTTTGGGGAGTCTGTCCAGGTCTGGCCTTGGTGTGCGTGCCAGCCAGCATGGTAGGGAGCAAGGGTCAATGCAGGCCTCCCTCACACTCTAGAAAGGACCCCCACACAGAGCATCCCCCCATTACTGAGGTTGTTCCCCCATCCTGTTCCAGCTTTTAAATTTGGCTGACAAGAAATGCCTGTGTTAGCTGCAGTAAAACTCAAGTGGTTACTGAATCCTATTACAAAGCACAATCAACCAACCCCTTAGTAGGGGCATCTTGATTAATCCCACTCTATAGTAAAACCATGTTCCTCTGCCTTCTCCAGCAACCACGGCTATTCAGAGCCAAGATACTTTGAAAAACAATCAAGTATGGAATTTGAGATTTTGGCCAGTGTATACAATTTACTGATGTCGTACAAAACAACACTTAACTAGCACACCAAGCACTGTGCTCCATGTTTCTTCCTACTGCCCTTAGTATTTACACCCAGGTTTGCCTCATCCACTCATCTATTGGGGGCCTCATAGTTCATGGAGTCAGACTGAGACCTGGGTTCGATAATCAGCTGGGCAACTTTCCACTTGTGCAACGTTATAAAGCCAGTAAGTCTCTCAAATTCGGTTTCCCTTTCTAGAAAATGGAGGCAATCATATATACTTCTTGGGACTATTGTGAAGAGAAAATGGGGTGTTAGGTAAAATATTTTGCAGAACAGCTGGCATTACATAATGGCAGTTAATAAACGTAGATAACACTGCTTCAAAAGAATATCCTAACCCAGGGTTTCTCCATGATTCGTAATTATCGCATGAGTAGAAAATGAAACCCAAATAAGATAGCAATGACTTTAAATAGCGCCCCCTTGTGGGGAAGGCGGGCCCTCCCCAAGTTGGTATGAGGCAGTAGTGGCGAACCTATGGCACTCAGGGCCCTTTCTCTGCATGCTAGCCAAGTATATGAGTAATTTTTTCTAAGCTAAAATCTCAGGATTCAGGTTTAGTTGCATGTGATAACCAAGTGGGCTTTGGGTTGCAGTTTGGGCACTCGGTCTCTTAAAAGGTTCACCATTACTGGATAGGGAGAAGAAGAAATAAATCAATTTACCGCAAATACAAGGTGCAATGATTCCAAGGTGACATGATTCCAGATAACTGGCTATGCCATATTGTTTTACATTCAGTGACTTAAAAATGTGATCTCAAATCTCATGATCAAATCTGAATAAGATACGAAGTTACAGAAACTATTAAGGATGTCTATTTGAAGCGCAAAGCCAGTGCAAAAATTTATCATGCTTTTTATGGGCTTAAAATATGTAGAGTTTATCAGGTGCTAGAATCAAAACAACCTTAAATGAGAGCTTGAAGAAAATGCCCCCCCCCCATGACTGGGGGTTGAACTCAGAGTCTTCACACTAAATTACATTCCCAGCCATTTTTTATTTTGAGACAGGGTCCTGCTAAATTGTTACATAGCCCAGTCTCAAACTGATCCTCCTACCTCAGCCTTCCAGGGTGCTGGGATTACAGGGCTGTGCCACTGTGCCTGGCTAAAAGATATCATTCTTGTGAAGTATAATCATTGGGTAGCAATAGTACTTTTCCCTACAGCTTATAATATTCTTACATAAAACAATTTAAATTTGATCTGTGGTTGATAATGAAGGTTGGTAGAAGTCACTAGAGTAATTAAAATAATTACCTAACTTCAGAGCTTCTTTCTGCACATCCTCTCAGTGTTTATTTTCATTTAATCTCTAATTATTTGTATAACAAAGTGAGCTTTGCTTAGTCTGTACTAATGAAGCTTTGGATTGCTGGCATCAGCCATTGCATTTCAACATTCAGTTGTTGTTCTCAAATAAACAAAGGTAAAAAAGAAATCCCATCTGGGGAGTTACAAAAAACATGTATAATTACTCCACATTTACATTTTGCTGTGATAAGAAATATGCAACTGTAACTTCTGCAGCAGAAAGATTGCAGCGTGATTAGTGCGCTGCATTGAACTGATCCCACTTGACGTTTGAGCCCAGGGTTTGCTGGTGTGACTGAATCATCCTTCAAGGGAGCTCTGGGGACATTGTTCATATTATTAGTTAAACTGGAAAGAGGCCAAGAAAAAAAATCTATATGCAATTAAGCATTTGTAAATATCTACATGATAATGTGTCTATGCAAATCAGCTCATGTGGACAATCGGAACTAATGCATATGTGAATAATAATGAACTGTGAAAAGTATTGATAATATAAGCATGTAAATATACGTCATTTCTGTTGACATATTAGACATGATTATGTGAAAGAATGATGTCAAAATTAATACCCCTGTATTCCAGGATATATGACAGTTTCATTGATAACTGTCAGAAAAATAACATTCAAACCTCAAATTAAAGGGCTCATTTGGTTTGTTTTCATGCATTAGAACCCTCTACAAATATCACTTTTGGCCTAGAATTGCTCTAAATTAGAAAGCTTTCTGAAAATTTCAGACATTTGCAGCTATTGTGTACAAAATGTGATGTTAGAGGTAGTTTGTTTAGTAAAATTCCACTTTTATAGGATGGGTTTGGACCAGGGTTAATAACTGGTTTTCTAAAAAAGCAGAGATTGGCAATTTACCTTAAGAATTTTATCCAAAAAAATAATCTGTTCATTTCAATAAGAGCTAAGGCTATAACATCAGCCTTTCCTCCTATTCCTTTCACTAATTAATTAGGATGCACAAAACCCCTCCAAAATGCATAAAAGCTTTTTTTTCTCTTTTCTCTCCATCTTAAAAATTGACACATATATTAAAATACTAATTTGTTAGAAATAAGCATTTTCCTATAAAACTATATAACCTACCTTTCACAGTTATGAGAATCAAAAGAGATACTATAGAATGATGAAAGTATTTTAAACAATGTAAGTTATACATGTAAAATAGAGGAGAGGGATAAAATAAGATTAACCATAACATAATAATTGTTTAAAATAGAAAATGAAATTATGTAGATTCCTTATTTTGTTTGGCCTACTGCCGCATATGTTTCAAATTTTTCATAAGTTAAAATACAAAAGATTATTATGTATTAGAGCTGGGGATTTAGCTCATTGGCACAATCTCTGCCTTGCAAGTGTGAGGTCCTGAGTTCGATCCCTGGTACTGGGGAAAAAAAATTATTATGTACTAGCTCATTTACCAAGATAATACTACTGCCCTTGTAATTTGTTTTACAAGGGCTATCTTACTGCCCTTGTTTCAAAAAACCACTTTAAGTGCCTCATTTGTGCAAAATACTATAGTAC